GACAAGTTGTGAAATACAACCGGAATAGTATATGAATTTTTATAATTTAGATTACAGTTTGCATGTGCCGGACCGCGGTATCTACCGGTTAAGTGGCAATGATCGCGTACCCGCGTATCGTCCGACGGGAACGGCTTATCGCAAATATGACAACGCGCCGCGCTGCGGTACGCCTCCCATTGTTACTTTGATAACGTTTCCATGGGCACGTTAGCGGATACAATATCTTTTACGCGATGTGCCAAGTTTTTCAGTTCCTCGGCGAACCATGATATGCAATTTTCATCGCGTCGGAAGTGATACGATGATAACGAATTGTCGTACGAGCATCGCACGTAGTATCCTATGCTGAATACTTCGTGCCGCTGATACTCATACGACGACGCATCTTCCTTGTCAGGCTCCGTCTTCCTTAGGATGCACTCCAGGTCGGCGTAGACGATGAATGGAACGCGTTCCTGGTTGCGGTGGTTGCTGAATTCGAGCCATCTATCGTCCTCGCTCGGCAGGCGAATGGCGCAGTCGTTCAGTTTTTGGCAGTCTATTGTGTGCGACTGCAACCTTTCTCTCGAGCCAAAATAGTGCAGGCATCTGTAAATAGACAAATAATTTTTTTATTTTTTCACTTTTATATATATATATTTTTTTTGTCTTATTATACTTACCGGTCGCAGAAATATTTCTTAACCTTTTTATAAGTAAGTTGCGATCTCACAAGGCGGGATAGATCTTTTATCCACGTAAAGTGACCTACACCGTCGTCGCGTGGATCTTGCAGGTACAGGAGATTGACGTGTTTCTCCTTGTTGTCACCGGTGAGTCGCAGAGGAAGGATCTGCTTATTCTCGATGCCGTACACGTTGATCGACACAGCGTTTAAACGTTCGAATTTCGGAATGTCTTTTAATGTCATCGGAAACTCAATGTTTGTGAGATTTAACACTGCCGTGTAATGCGGGTACGACGATTTTCTATCCACATGACTTTTAGCTGGGTACAGAGCGGTGACCACCGACCACGCGAAGCATGCATTGTCCATGGATTTCACACTGTCCACCGCTTTCTTCAGCGTAATTTCTCGCGGCACCTCGAAGTGACATCCCGCGCGCAGGGGATTCAGTTTGTTCATGTTAACAGTCAAATTGAGAATTCGCGACAGCACCTACCCACTGTCGCGTTCCTGGAACTCTTCGAGCGATGTCAAGATAGGTTCGACGACGTGTCGTTCGTACCACTCGCGTACATCGGTGCATCTATATATCTCGCTGTTCTTCGTGTTTATACTTTTATTGGCACGTTTGTCTTTCGTCGCGAACTCGCCGTTGAACGCTGTGTTCACTTTCACACTACCGTGTCTTTCCACAGCGTCTCGCACTCGCTCTAGCACTACATCGCCAGCGTCTTCCAAAAACCGCCGCGGCTCGATGTGATTAGAGTTTATCACCGCGCCTGTCGCACTATACGACTCTCGAATGTTGTTTCGATCTCGCGCCATCGAAGTCCGTAACCGGCACCCACAGGCACGAATCTTCCACGCACCGAATCCTTCAAACTCTCGAGCCTCGCGATCCTCGCCACCACAGATTGTCTGTGTCCAACGGCGAGGCGTGGACGCTTGGTACGACTCTGCTCTTCAATAAATTCTATTAGTTCGTCGCATCGTTGTTCCCATGCGACGTACTCTTTTCTAGTATTCAGCTGGACCGCTTCCTCTATCAAATCGCTCTCCATGTTATCGGTTGCGTTGACTAATGACGCGGTGTGTCTAAATCTTCTCATTTTATACCATTTACTTGGTCACGTGATATTTGTATCGTATTACATTGATGATGATGTCACCATTCGAACATGTTGAATGATATGTCGAATGTTCGTGAAGAATCTAGTCACGTGACATGTACACTATTTGGCAACGTCGCATTTATATCAAATCGCATCGATAATGTCACCGCCAAACATGTCGTGACATATTGTGACTTGTCGCGGCATGTCCTTGAAAAATCTTTGATTACGATAAATCTAATAAAGCCGTCGACGCTTGCGAAATTACAAACGTCGCATTTTTGTTGTATTAAATTACATTGATGTTATCGCGAGACGCATCAAATAACAAATACGATGTGGCAAACACCTAGCGTAAGATTTATGATAAAAATTCAAATATTAAATGTGAATTATTAGTTACACTATGGATGATAATATATAGTATATGGAAAATAAACGAATATTTAAATTGTATGTCTCAGCGTTTGAAAATTATTCATTCCTTCCGTCTTTGCGATATTTATTCCTTCTTTTCCTTCCTACTTTCTTCGTAGTATTATATTACATGTGCCGACAGCATCATCGTGATCGATGATATTATCGCGTCCGATAATATCGCTGCGCTCGCTTTAAAAGCATTATTAGAATATAATCGAATAAGTACAATATAAATAAAAAAATATATATGTATATGTATATATTTTGCGTATGAGAATAAGAGTAAAAGGGATCACATAGGAAGCTGCAATGAGAAAAAAGATCGTAAGTATAGAATGCACATTAGTCGCAACGTGCGGCATAATGCATCGAGAGAAAGATGGTTGGTATATGAGATAGCGCGCACGCGGCAGCGCTGCTTAATATCTCAATAATGCGCATAATGGTAACATTTGATAGCCGGATTGAAACATTTACAAGATGCTGCGAAACGAATACAAGGACAACTTTATAAGCGTTGGACTGCTAGCCGTCAGAATTTGCACGATGAACGATGTTACGCTCGTACGCCTCGATTCTTCGTCCGTACGCATGATGATGGCCGAAACGACGCTACGCCGCATGTTTGTGTTTGATGGATGTATCGATGTAACGTTCGAACGATTAGTTCGACTCGTCGATACGGTTGATGTCAAGTATACGCGGTTCTCCAACATCGCGTCCGAAGACGCTATACGCGACTAGCTACTTCTTTAACAAGTATCAGCTCGTCGATTGCGAGCTATTGGCTTTAGTTTTTAATACGCAAGAAGAAAAACTCGATGTAATAATATGTGAATAAAAATTTTGTCGTTCACATAAGTAGGGTCCCAATGATACATGGTGTCACAGCATGGCGGCACGTATTATTGCTGCTAGTGTTTATGTAAACACCGATAGCGTCGGGACCTTCCCCCTCCTCTCCCCTCCTCCCCCGCGCCATCAAGCATGTCTTCTCTATCCTCTCCCCTCCACCCCCGCGCCACAGTTCCTCTCGCGAACGCGACGCCAGCGCCGCCTGGTGGCAGCCAGGCGGCTGTATCCGTGGTACAGGACCCCCCTTATATATCTACTAAAAGGAACTGCCAAAAGCAGTCGAAAAACAGTTAATTCTTTTATTCAGTTTAGTTCAGTTCAAGACAGTTAATTCTTTTATTCAGTTTAGTTCAGTTCAAGTCAGTCATTCTTTTATCCAAGACAGTCATTCTTCAGTCCAATTCAGTTCAAGACAGTTAATTCTTTTATTCAAGTCAGTTACATAGTCATACAGTTAATTCTTTTATTCAAGTCAGTATTTTATTCATTCTTACTTACAGTTTAGTCAGAAATCAACTATATCAAGGTGAGAACTATCCTCGCGCTTCCTCAGAAATACACTCTTATATTTTCCTTTTTTTATTGTTCTGTTTCACTCTTATATTTTTCTTTTTATTATTAAACGAAAATATTGAATATATCAAATCGTTGAAACCTAAATCTCTGCTCTGCGTCTCACTCAATTACATTCAAGTACATATATATGAGTATCCGAGGGGCTGTTGCGACTGTCGCTGCCAATAGCGTGGCCCCCGTCTTACAGCAGTTCTTCTGAACATTAATAATTTTTGCATTATTTCCATGCCTACTAAAGGCGGACGAAGACAGCGAGAAAAGGGATTAAGATTTCAAATAAAATCAGCTCTCATTTCAAATCACGATCCTTTCCCATATTTCGAAAAACTAGCGCAATTATTAAATCAAAAGAAACCAGTAGACTCACCCCGGGAACGCGTATATACTCTCAACCGATTAAAGATCAATCTTACGTTTCCGAATTACAAGAAAATTCGAAAAGCCGATCCACGTAGATTCGCCTATAAGCTTCGTAACCTTTTTGGCACCGGATTCAAAATTCCCCTTCCGAAAAACTATCCAATACTTCCCAGTGAACATTATTAACCGCACAACCTAATCTCCGATCCCCGAGTAAATTGCTTAAATGCATTGACTCAAAAAACGGAGAAAATCTCAATAGCATTACGTAACAGTTACTAGCCGCTTTAGGAATGCTTTTTACAATCAGACCATGTAAGAACGCTGCAAAATTATATAATGTACTATCCAAAAAGGATATGATGATTTTAAATGGGCAATTTAGTTTATGCACTTTTGGCAACGCATAAGCCCTTAGAATGTTACCATCACTACAATAAAGTTGTTTGTAGGTTAATTCCGAAATGTAATTTTGTTTTTTCCATCCTGCCAACAGTTGCCTCAAGTTGTAACGATGCACCCCCATAAGTGCATCATTCCCGGCAACACTGCCGGGAAATGTTGACAGTGGCGTACGGTGAGTCAACTTTGAACAAAAAAAATGTTTATAAATGGTATAAGTTATTCCAAGAGGGCCGAGAAAATGTTAACGATGAACCTCGCTCTGGACGCCCCAGAAAACCCCCCAAAAACCGACGAAAATGTTCAGGAAGTGAAAGAAATTGTGTTGAAAAATCGTCGAATCACGATTAGAGAAATAGCTGATGATCTTAACATATCGTTTGGCTCATGCCAATCAATTTTAACGGACGTTTTGGGTATGA